CTGAAGCGAGTTGTCAGGTCCTACCTATGCGACAGGTACATTACGTACCCGGGTCGGGATGGCGCAAGCCATCGCAGAGAGGTCGTGTGTGGGGTTCCTCAGGGGTCTGTCCTTGGACCACTCCTTTGGAACCTCGCATACGATGCTGTCTTGAGGGTCGCACTCCCCCCGGGCGTGCATCTGGTGTGTTATGCTGATGACACCCTGGTGCTCGCCGGAGGGGAGGACTTCGAGAGGACCATCCGGCTCGCTGAGCTCGGGGTTTCTCGCGTCGTCGAAAAAATCGAAGAGCTGGGTTTGCGAGTAGCGCCTCAGAAAACTGAGGCGCTGTGGTTCCACAAACTCCCGCGAGGGAGGGAACCGCCCAGCTTCTCTATTCGCGTTGGTGACGTCGACGTCCAGGTGGGGCAGTACTTAAAGTACTTGGGCCTTATCCTGGACGGTCGCTGGGATTTCGAGGAGCACTTCCGGCGCCTGGTTCCCCGGATCGATAGGGTGGCGGGTGCATTGCACCGGTTGCTGCCCAACCTGGGGGGCCCTTCGGAGGAAGTTCGCCGTTTATACGGTGGGGTGGTGCGATCCGTGACCCTGTATGGGGCACCCGTCTGGTCACACCGACTGACAGGCGTCCGGCGTTGTAGAGCCATGGTCAATGGCGTGCAGCGCCGCATGGCCATAAGGATCGCACGAGGGTATCGCACCGTATCCTTTGACGCGGCGACTGTCCTGGCGCGGTTTCCCCCGCTGGACATTCTGGCGGAGATGGACGCGCGTATTTACGCGCGCCTCCGCCAGGCGGAGGAAGCTGCGCCGCCGGAAGTGCGGTGGCAGGAGCGCCGACGGGCGTTCGAGAAGTGGCGCGAGAGGCTGGAACAGCCGTGGATCTCGCGCCAGCGCGCCGTCGGCGCGATCCTGCCCAACCTCGAAGTCTGGTTGAGCCAGCGGAAGTGCGTCACCACGTTCCGACTGACACAGATACTCACCGGGCATGGATGCTTCGGTGAGTATCTGAATCGGATCGGACGCGAGTCGACGACGCAGTGCCACCACTGTGGGAGGGACCAGGATTCCGCCCAGC